GGACTATCTGTATTTGGGCCATTGTAGGTAGCAATTTCTTTACTTCTTCCTCCCTACCTCCCTGCCTTCTTTCTCCCTTTATTCCTTGCTTTCTCCCTCTGCCACATATTCTTTCCTTCTCTTCCTTTCTCTCTCATGTGTGTGACCTCCCCTCCTTTGCTCTTTTTCTTTCTTTGTGATAGACTGTTCTATCTATTCAGCTACCTGTTTACCCTACCCTCTGAGCAAATCCTAGCAAATGCAAACAGGCTGTGCAAACACACCCAAACACGGCCCCTGTTCTTTAGAAGGTTCTCCTCTGCTCTTGGCTTTGTAGCGGAAGCAGCTTCCGCTACTCACAGAAATTGTCTTTGCAGCTTGTAATATCACTCCTGCCCCTCAAAGCAAGCATGCCACCGTCACTTTGATGCTAGTGTGAAAACCATTAAAACACACCGGTAATATAGACACTGAACTGGGAGGATCCCTGTCCCTCCCTCCCCCAACCCCCACATCCTTCTTGGGGGGTTGTTTTGTGGTGGCTCTTGAGACCCATGTGTTCCCAGGCTGCAGGCCCTGTGCTCACCTTCTGCATGAAGACAGCGTGGTCAAGACCTGCCTCTAAGGAGGAGAGGGCAAAAAAGGACAGTTTCCCTCCTTGAGGTGGCCGTTTGGCAATTCTCTGTGTACAGAAGAGTCAGGGAGCGGCTGGTATGTGAAGACAGGCAGTCCTCCAGGACCCAGGACAAAATCCAGAAACTTGGTATAACTGCCACAGTGTTGTCCAGTGCTGACATGTGTGGCTGCCAAAGCGTCAGAGGGACCAAACACGTCTTTTCCTGAAGCCGAAATGGGTATTTGGAGCCACTTGTTATTTCTCCCACCCAGCCTCTGCCCAACTTGGCCCGTCATCTCAGCAGAAGCTGGAACCCAGATTGGCCTGGGCCTGGTTCTCAGGCCATGACTGTGGCAGGAGAGTGCCTTTATCATCGGGGTGTTTCTTGCCTTTGCCGCTGCTGGCTGGCCCACGTGCATCAAGATGCTCCTGTTCCTCTGGACGAGTGCAGCTGAGATTGATGGTTTCTCTTTTTCTCTCTCTCTCTCTCTCTTTCAAGGGTCAGGTGTGGATTAATGGCTTTAATCTTGGTCGCTATTGGCCAGCACGAGGCCCCCAGATGACGTTGTTTGTGCCACGGCATATCTTGGTGACATCTGCCCCAAACACCATCATAGCACTGGAACTGGAACGTGCACCCTGCAGTGACAATTACCCCAAACTGTGCACGGTGGAGTTCGTGGACAAGCCAGTTATCAGTGCAGCTGTGACCTATAGCCATCTCCTTCAAGACATGTATAATCAGCACACAGGACTGGACCACGTATGACGACTAAAGCCTTTGACCCTTTTGAGTTCTAGCCTTTCACATACCTCACATATCCCCTGGCAGTGGCATCATTCACTGGAGAGTTCGATTAGAAAATAGATGTAGCTTGTGTGTTTCCACCTGAGGTTTTTCTGCAGCCTTGCAATGCCTGACCCAAGGGCCACCATGGCTGTGTGATGAGGGTGGCAACACAGTAGTGCACTGGTGTGCCTGAAGAATTGAAACAGAGGTTTTCGAGGTGTTTCTGATTTTTATTTCGGAAAAATCATGTCTTTTTGTTAAATAAAATTTGCATTTATGACATTACTGTTGAACAGGTATTAAATTAGAGGTTCTGAGTTAAATCATAACTAGACTTGAGTGGGCTGAAGAAGCCACTTCACTAACTTGAGGTTCAAAGGCATGGAAAATTGTCTTGGTTTGATCTAATGGACTGCCCTTTTTTTCTGATCCTTATTTGAAGTTCGATCCCATTTTGCGTGCTTAACAACTGCACCTATTGACACACTCAGCTTGCACACATGTCAGTATACACGCATACACATGAATGCATGTGCTGTGTACGTACTCGGATATGCAAAGGCATGGTGTTGCATAACATGCAAGTCCTGCCCAGGGCAGTTGCTCTCTTCTGTTGAGCACAGTTCTACACCATGCCTAGTTCTGAGCATTTAATATATTCAATTCACTTGTCTCTCAGAAGAACTCTGAGGAATGTACTGTCATCTCCCCCAGATTTACCAAGCCACACCGCTATACGTGGTAGAGACAGTGTTTGAACCCAAGTCATCTGGCTCTAATGTCCAGGCATACATTGCATACATAATATATCAATACATGCTTATGATTTCATAGGAAAGGATTAGGACAACATAAAAAAATGTTAATATGATCAGATTTGGGTGGTGTTTGAGAGATTGCTCAGTTTTTCTTTTTTTGCTTATTTGTGTTTTAAATCCTTTACAGAGAAATTGTAAATTTTTTTTTACAATTAAACCACCTTTATTATGCAAATATATATATATCTTTTTTTTTTTTTTACCAATGCTGGGAAGATAGTCAAAGACATCCCTGCAAAGCTCTGCATTCACTATTTTTTTTTATTAAATTATTTTTTGTTATGAAATACACATTTTTTAGAATTAGTTTCAGCTGTACAACACAGGGCAATAGNTTCTCTCTCTGAGAAGGGCAACCAAACCACCATAAACCTCATTTAATTACCGTCTGTTAAGAGCTGAGAGTGGAGGGAAATTTTGTCCTGAAGAAGTTAATAGTTTTGGAGAAATAACCAAGGCCAGAGAAGATACAACCTTGGGTTTAGGGTAAGTTAGAAGGAAGGTACAAAGCACAATGTCTACATATTGGAGAGTCATTAGGGTGCTTCAGGAGGCAGGACTCATATGGCAGCTGAAGGCTCAAAATGGGCGACACGTGATAACTTGGGAGACAAAAGAATAACTAGAACAGATTGTGCAGTGTCCAGAATTCAGGAGGCGATTAGGCGAAAAAGAATATCAACTTTGATCAGCAACTAGGAGTGACAGTTTGGGGTTATGTCTGTCAGTCACAGTGCAGTCTGGGAAGTGGGACTGTAGGAGTATTCACTAGTAGGAATTAGAACTTACACAGGCATGGGAGGAGCTGGGAAAGCGGGAGTTGGAAGTGGTCGGAGAACCAAATGCAGAAACACCAATCAACCCTCCTGCAGTGGTTAGGTCATCACCTCAGGAGAATCTCATGAGCAAGTCCAGCCACTCAAGCAGAACTTTGGGGAGCTCACAGGGAGGTCTTTGGGACTATTAGTCAGCAGGGTGGCATCTAGGAAGACGAGCTGGACATGGAGCAGAGGAGACCAAGGATGCACTGAACCTGCAGGCGCCCCAGTCCTATCAGTCCTGGGTTTAGCCATGGTGACCCCAAAAGCAAGGGCTGCCGCTTCCCATCCACCTTCCAATCTCAGGAAGGTCCCATTTGGCCAACTCTGACCCAGAACCCTCTGGTGGGAGGGATNCCAACTTGGGCCAGTGAAGCAACGTCCTCCACAACTAGACTGAAGAACAAAACGACAGCAACTTGTCTGTTTCCCTTCCCCCAATTCCCCAGCACTGTTCCCATCCCCCCAATTCCCCAGTAAAAAAAAATCTTAAAAAAAAGAGTGGTGCTGGAGAAAAAGAGGAGTCAAGGACTTCAGAGCTTGGGGCCAAGCAGCTGAAGGGATGGAGCAGTCAGCTTCTGAGGTGGGGAAGACTGTAGGAGAGCAGGCAGAAGATCAGAAGCTCTGGTTTGTACATGTTCAGCCAAGTACTTACTAATTATCCTAGAGGAGCTATCTATTCTTGCCCATTAACCAAAGATGTAGCCATAAAACCTGGAAACATAGCAATAAGCAAACAAACAAACAAATCTGCATTCAATACTGTCATAATATTAAAATAATGTCATCTATGTTTCCAGATTTTATGGCCATCCAGTAGAAGGCCTGGCAGTCTTTTTTAAGTCTGTACAAATTGGGAAGTGGATTACATTGTAAGTTAAAGATATGTATTCGGTGCTTATTATGGGAATGCAGAGGTGAAGTATCTGTCCCGGGTTTGGAGCTGTTAGGAAAAGGCCCCAACTGGTAGAACTAGCTCCGGAATGGAGGGTGATGGGTAGGAATTACTCTTCTGCCCCACACTCCTCTGAAGCTGCTCCTGCCAAGGCCACCAGCGCCCAGATGGCGGTGTGTTCCCCAGACATTTCTCAGGCCTGGTCTTACTTGACTTCTTGTCAAGTGACATCTAACATGGGTAGCCATTTCCTTCCTTGAAACTCTTCCCCTAGCTCCTGTGACCCAATTTCTCCTGGTTTTTCTTCCCCCTCTTTCTCCCTTCTCAGGCTTCTCTTTCAGTTTCGATGTTTCAGACCTCAGGGCTTGATTCTGAACCCCCTTCTTACACTTTCAGGGACTGTCACCTTCACAGATGTGTCAGTAACATCCAACTCAGTATTTTTTTTTTAGATTTTTTATTGGGGAATTGGGGGTTGGGAACAGTGCTGGGGAATTGGGGGAAGGGGAACAGACAAGTTGCTGTC